GTATCTGATGATGATCGCCCAAAATGTTCATTAACTACCTTAAGTCAAATTTCCAGTGATTTCTATCCGAATATAAAATGCCTTTTAACAATATTAGCTACTTTGCCTGTAACGACTGTTACTGCAGAGCGTTCATTTTCAACATTGCGGAGACTGAAAACCTATTTGAGAAATAATATTGGACAAGACCGGCTGACAGGATTAGCGCTCATGAATATTTATAGAAACGATAACATTGATATTGACGAAGTCATTAACAGATTTGCAAGACTACCTCGAAAATTAGATTTTATATTATAAAAATACATGTTTTTAACAATTATTAAATTTTTTTTTTAAGTATGACGTTTTTTATAAGAAATAAATGGTACTATAATTGAAATTGTGTAAACTCCTTGTTAGGTTATAGGTTAAGTTAGATTATATAAGTATGAAAATGTACAAGCAAACCCCCCCAAAAAAATTTTTTTTGTGTACGCGCCTGGGTACACTTATTACACTTAATAAGTCTAGGTAATTTTGTATTCTATAGATCTTCTAGAGTATAAATCATAATTAATATTGTATTTTTATTAGAGCTTTCAATACGATATTAAATAGCATAATAATTATAATTATGTATTAAAATACAGTTATCATTAACGTGTTCTATTTAGGAATTTTGTTTATTGTAGATAATTAATTTTGCTTATGTAGGTACATATGTGGGATTCAAACGAGTTAATGCTTATCTTTGGAGTTTGCAATACTATTTTAAATTGATGCTAATATTATGGCTGAGATAGTTAATTTGATAAACAGTTAATTTATAAATCGTTTATTAATTGTATAATGTGTTTTTTTGTATTAAGAATTGATACAATTTAAAATATTGAACATTGTGTACCTAACTCTTCTCATATTGCCTATAGATTAAATTAATTGTTTAATCATCCGTCAATATACTGTCTACATGCATGTACTACTGTATCCGAATTTTTGAGCGTCGGAATTTCACATCTCCCTTTTCGAATAATTTTCACCACATAATGTTGGTCCTTCTGTGTCTGGACTTTGCACACATTATGTCATCGCCTCTTCCGCCCGCGGGACTTATGCACAGGCACGGTGCTCTGCACCATCTTATGCAATTGTTAATGTTTTCGAACGGTTTATCTGAACAACCACCACACGAGTGAGCATTGCAAAACGTCGGTTTATTAGCGTACGGATCCCCATGACTGACGTAGGGGTCAAATGCATCTTCTATTTTGTGTAACGTTGAATTAAAGACATCGGAGATTTCTTGATAAGATTGGTTCTTTTTGTTTTTTTTACAGCTTACCTCCGCGAACGAACAGATGAGGCATAGAAATAAAACACTGATGGTCGAGATAGACGTTTTCATTTTGTCCCGAACAAACGTGAATTTTATTTAATTGTAATATTGTATATGACGCGAACTGTAATGAATAATATAATAAATATGTGTATTATACATAATATGAATCGCGGAAAAAGCCCAAAAAACGAAAAATTAAATATAAATGTGAACAAATGTATACTATACTTCTAATTAGTAATGACCTTGAGGAGTGTACCTACATATAACAAAATATAATATATTAAAATTAAAATAATGTCATAAATTATAATGTAAGTTTCGTATAAATGTAGTATATATATATAAGATGTTATACTTATACACCTGATATTTGTTTACTTATAACTTAGCACTGTATATTATGTACCTATAGGTAGACGAGTTCATATTTATTTTTAAATTTTTTTATATATAATTAATAGTCAATCATAAGCCATATTCAGATATAAAATAATTTATATTTGAAATTTTTTTTTGAATAAATAGGTTATAAAAATGTCTTATTAATTGCGAGTCCCCCCATATAAAATTGTCTATAATGGCTATAATAATTTATGAATTATTAATTACTAATTAGGAGTAGAGTGTATTAGAAACATGTGTTTATATTTATATTCAATTCTTTTCCTGGGTTTCTTTTTCTTTGGTTATCTATGGCTTATTTTTTTGTGATTTTTTGTCCGTTGGATTTTTTTTAGACTTTTTTCCGCCTACCAGGTGGGTGTGTTGTAAAAAAAATATTATTAAAATTACTTACAATTCTTCCACGTCTGAAAAAATGGCGTCTGTGCTGTGTTGATATACTATTGTTAGGAGTAAGAGATCCAAAGTCTAATTTGAATCAAAAACAACATCTGACGTAGTATGCTGTAGGTATGATTAGTAAAGTAACACTGAAATCAAAAATGTGTTTGTGTTCATATTTCATAACGAAATTGTGATTAGTTGTTATCAATAATTTTTACTTGATAAAATTGGGTTTATCTAAAGTAGCGGTATTCATAAGGATATACCTAACTATATAATTATATTACGTAGAAGTTAGATTTACGAATAATATTATACCGCGAATGGTGTAGACGAATTAGTATACTTACATACATCGATATCACGGTACCACCTTCTTTTATGTTTCTTCTTGAAGATTGCTGGTTAGTAAGAAATTGATATCATGTAAGTTTTATTACTTATAATTTAAATAATATATTTGCTTTTAAATGCATATCTCACTCATCGTGACTTTTTTCTTCGACTTTTCTTTTATATTTGTATTGGAATTTGTTGTTTTTAGGAGTGTTTTATAAACTAGCAGTTTAGTTAATATTAAGGCTGGTAAATTTGAATTTAGACAACTGTTTTCATTAAAATATAAATTCATGTTTCAAGACATTACAGAAATCTTATGGAAGAATAATATTGCGAAGCTACAGCCAAAAACAACATATCAATTAAAAATACGAGGAGCTCTCATTTAGTAATTTAATAGCTCAGAACGAGTGTTCGTCTATTACGATGATTCCATGTGTCTATGTGTTAATGTATAGGTGTCAACGTTATTGCGGTAGTACTCGGACAACTCTGAATACTCCCGCGGACACTGCAGTCGACTCGTTATCCGATCGATACGACGGTTTGGATACACAATTGTGCACTATATCGATATACTATATTTTTCGAAGACCAGGATATAGTATAATTTATCCTAATCGGTTCTCACACGACGTGCAATAATATAATAACGACGTCGAACTACCTGCCAAACGGTATCCTGCAGGCCGCGCGTGTTTACATCGAACCCGGAAGAGCGTGGGAATCGTCTCATCGTCGTCGCCACGTAGACGAGTATTATGCATATAATATCATAATATATTACATATAATAATATACATATCATTGTACGGTGTTCGTCGAACGCCCAGTATAGCATAATGTTATAATATAACGTGTATGATGTGGATCATACGGTGCCCGGGCGTCCACCCCCGCTGTTAACGATTTGTACACCGAAAAATCCGACGAAGGAGCGGACACGCCGATAACGTATTACAACAATCGTATAATATGTGTATTATTACTATTATTATTAAATTACACCTTACACCGAAACCCTCCCCCGGCAGGCCCGGCCGCCGTCGAGCGCAACAAAAAGACTGTAACAATAATAATAATGTGTCGTTCTACATATATTATTACATTATTATTGTATGCGCCCGTCGTGTTGCAACGCCGTCGCGGGGAGAGAACCGTCGACGGCCGAACAGAAGAAGAAAAATAAGAAGAAAAAAAACAGACGTCAGGTACTTTGCGTCTCCGCGGGCGCGATTACGGTTGTCCGCGATCGATGGACGATTTATATATTTTACGATCGGACGTGTTGTATAATACGCACTATAGGTATAATGTAACGTAGGGATGGGTGTGCGCACGCGGTGACACGATATAACTGCAGCCGTACAATGCAATAATATCGTGTATACGGTTTACACGCGCGACGGTAATAATATATATTATAATGCGCACGCAGGTATATCTGTATATAAAATCCGTCGATGTGTCGTACGCGACCGGTTCTATTCATCGAACAACCCTTTTACGTTTACTTTTCGTTTTTTTTTTTTTCAGCAGTCTTCCCGCACAAAAGGCGTGATCGTATAATATCGGCCACTCGCAGGATCTACCCATAATAATAACGTATACACTGCGCATATGATAATAATAATATTAATGTAACGTGTGCGCGGGCGCGTTACGGTTTCCGTGCTGGACGTTATAATAATATTTATAGGTTTGGGTGTATACCATGTATAGGTATAGAATATGTGATGGGTATTAATATGTTATATCATATTCAAGGACATCGAAGACGCAGTCACCAAACTCTCGTTTTCCAACTGCAGGACATCGACAATATTATATGGGTCAACGTCGCATCTCGCACACACACGCACGCATACACACACATACGGCGAGTATACACACGGACGGTTAAGTTTCCCGTCCGGCGGTCGTAAAATTTGTCAGGCCCCTACGAGTCCACCCCCCCCCCCCGACGGTCGGCACGGAGCGCCACACGAGCCGATCAATTTTTATTCAAATCAGATTTTGAATTGCTGTATTATCGAAGAAAAAAAAAGGGGGTGCGCATCCTCTGCGAATCGTCCTGCGCACCTACGTATGTATAGGTGTCCAATGTCCAATAACGCTGCTGCATAGTTCACGGCTGTCAGGCTCATAGCTATAATATACTGTAATAATATATTACCTATTTTATTATTATTATTATTGTGATAATAGTTACATGGCCGCACACGGGTATCCGTAGAGAACCGATTTTAGACGCTGCTGCGCTGCTGTCCGACACCTTTCTTCGTCTCCATAATATCATTCAAGTCCTTTCGCTCCCCGCGAGCGGTTTTTTATACGCATATTATACGCATAAATAATATATATATATTATATTATATTGATACAATAACGTCGACTGTCGCCGTGTAGAGTGGTCCGATGCGTAAAACGACCATATTGTTATTGTATTAATATTAGGTTATTCACGGTATTACGCATCTTTATTGTCGCTATCATCGAGTGTTATATTATGTTTGCTGTAAGGTCATCGCGTCCAGAGAGCCACAGGTCGTGCGGTGCCATTTTCGAACGGCAACACAATTTATTATTCCGAGATGTGGGTGGTTCCCAGATGCTGAGGACGACTTCGTCACATAACAATATAACATTTTATTATACACGACTGAACCAACTGCACTGATGCATAATATGGAATTGTACACGTTTGCGGGTTTTCGTCGTGTATATAAGTATCGTTAACCCGTTTTCACCAAATCTAGTTTCAAAAAACTAAAAAAGAGAAAGTAAAATATTATATTATAAACTAGATGTACATATATAGCTTTATTTAATTATTTAATTATTTTTTCCCCGTCAACGCTATAATGTATCTATATATAACCAACACGTAAAGTAACAAAAAATTGTGCTTTATTCGCATACAACTAACTCCTATTAAACAAATTTAAAAAAAAATGAAGTGAGTTTTTTGATTTTATTTTATTTTTTTGACCAATAATTGAATTTCTTTTCAGTTAACCTGTCCTCATGCTTTGATGAACAAAGAAAAACTAAATTGTTTATTATAATTAGAGTTCGGATGATGCATTTTTTATATCGATCTATTATTACACTATAAATTTAATTCACGCCAAATAAACACTATTTAGTTTTACTTTTTAACTATAGTTATCTTCAACCAAATATATATGCATTCATTTTGAAAAGTGACTCATTTGGAGTTCCCATTTAGGTAGGTATAAGAAAAATGAACATAATTTGACAATATCAATTAACTATAGGAAATGTTGAATTACAATCTATTGTCCAAGTCTTACAAACTTAGTATTCACACCAAACTAAAAATATGACAAGCTGCTTTTTAAACTTTTATGGCTGTGTGGCACCTAAGTATGTACGGGAGTCTGCGACAGTTGAAACTTTTCAACCGAAAACCCTCAGTTTTACTACTCATGATTATCACTATGACATTACAAACCAAACTTTTCTTGCGTAGATGTTTACTGTAGTAGAAACTAACAGTCGCTTATATCATCGTGACCACTTTTCAATTTATTCAAAATCATTTTAATTCTTTAATTGTAAAGTTAGCAGCACTTGAGTACAATATCCGAAAAACTATTCCAGTGCTTTAAAATCAGCAGATTCCATGACATTTTTTTTTGTTTTTAAATATTATAATATAGAAAAAAATGTATTCCTATACGGAGTATAGTGTATACAGTATACATTTGCCTCCCGTTCAAAGTGTCGGTGCCTATAATGAGTAATATTATACATTCCATTAAGTTTATTATTTTCAGGACCACATTTTTTTATGTGACGATTCACGGTTATGTTCTGATCGAGATTCAACTGCAGAAATTTGATTCAAAGGCGATTCAACTTCTTCAATCATCCACATTTTTTATGCACATGCATTTTACAATGTGCCAAAAACGTAACGCATTTACCAAATTACTTATATATAAAATCGGATTCACAGCTACATTGTGTGTCGTGTCATGTATGCGCATAGTAATTATGGTTAGTACTGGTCACCATATCGGTTTAGGAGTTGAATTGTAGTCAATTCTTGGTATACTAGGATAGTTGGATGCAACTTGATGGTTATTACACGACACCAAAAAAGTAACATGCAATCAGAATGCGATTTCATCAACAAGACATGAGTGGCAACAACCTTCAGCATTTGGATAGCGGGAACACTAGGTGGTTTAAGGCTTTAGCATCTGGAAAAAAAATGAAATATTATTAACAATCATTACGTATAATATATAAAATCCGGTAAGTTATATAAACAATAGCATGTCTGTAAATTAATATCAAACACGAGTATAAAAGCAAATGTGGAATATTATACACTTATATATTATCTATATGTTACAGTTTAAAATACATATTAAAATTAATCGCATCGTTGGTAATTGTTTCGTGGTTGACAGATGAGATGAGACGTGTGTCGGTCACCTTCGCGTCCGCTTTGTCAATCAAACACGCAACAGTATAGTTACCGTTTAGCGGATTTGGCCATTTCGCTGCAAGCGCCAAGCCACTTGCCCACTTCATCGATCGTACTTCCGGTTCTCCGTTCATTGGTGGAGTCCTGCAATATTACTTCGACAACTTGGACGGTGCCCTTGTACAATTCATCATAATAATAAATTACTACTAGAGAAATATTGGCCTAAAATGTTTGTATGGACGACAAAAAATTACAATTCGGTCGACGAGTTGACTCACGAATAACAACAATGGCTTGAATTCGGATTCGTTGTATGCGGATCTACACAATAATGATCATATTGCAACCT